ACATAACAATACTTTTATTAATTCTGATAACCTGCTGAACGGTGGAAAGAAGTTTCCAAACAGTTTCCTTGAACATTTACAAAATACACAACTCCGGGACAAGCAGTATCTTTAACCATGTCAGGTTCCGAAAACTGATTGAAAACTACTTTGTGAAAAACACCAGTCCAAAACTCTATATCCATTTCCCTGGGGTGGGGGTATTGGACGTGACCTCGAGGCTCCTCCGCGTCTCCCCCACTCAAAACAGGCCTTTTGCTTTTTTCAGGTTCACCTGCTTCCAGGCGGGCAGGGCGTGGTATTCATCTCGTGTCATGTCTAGTGCAAACTGGAACATTGGGAGAAACACCGGCGGCTCAGTGAAAGGACTCTCAGCTTCGTGTGTTGTTTTAGTCCCATCCCCATCCCAGTGGAAGAACCGCTTACCTCGAAGTCTTTGTCAGTGAGATAGATCTCAAGCTTCAGAGGATCGACCCCCTCCGGGAGCGGCCTGGCCAGGAGGTCGGCCAGCGGGTAAATGGTTTTACAGAGCTTGGCTAAGACGTCTTCCACAAGGGTAATCTGATTGGAAACTTCCGTGTCCTAGAGTAGAGGAGGGGGCAGAGAGGAGAAATGTGTCCCACATTTGAACACGTTTTATCAAGTGCTTGCAAACACACAGTCCTGTGCCATCTGCACACAGCCTGAGGACTCATTGCTCCACGTTACTGAGGAAGCAGCTCTGAGAGATAAGGGATTGCCCAAAGCCCTGCAGCTGTCTGGACTCTTAATTTAAAAAAAAAATTAAATTTTAAATTAAAAATGATTTTTTTTGAGACAAGATCTCACTCTGCTACCCAGGCTGGAGTGCAGTGGTGTGATCATAGCTCACTGCAGCCTCCAGCTCCTGGGCTCAAGTGATCCTCTTGCCTCAGCCTCCTGAGCAGCTGGGACTATTGGTGTGTATCACCATGCCTGGCTAATTTATTTTTCCTTTTTCTTTTTTTTTTTTTTGGTAGAGTCTGGGTCTTGCTATGTTGCTTAGGCTGGTCTCAAACTTCTGGCCTCAAGTGATCCTCCTGCCTCAGCCTGGCAAAGTGCAGGGATTACAGGTGTGAACCACCACACTTGGCCCAAAATTATGTTATTTTTTAGAGTGTCTCACTGTCACCCAGGCTGTAGTGAAGTGGCTCGATCATAGCTCATTGCAGCCTTAAACTCCTAGACTCAAGCAGTCCTCCCACCTCAAGCCTCCTCAGTAGCTGGGATTATTGGCATGTGCCACCATGCCCACCTGATATATTTTTAAAAATTTTTTTATAGAGATAGAGGCTTGTTTCTCTGACTTTTAGATGTTTTCTCACCTTGTCACAGAGTTTCAAACAAACCCTTCTTGAGAACTGCCTCTGGAAAAACATTTTGAGACTCTCCCATGAGTAAACTGCGTACTACGATTAGTAGATCTGAAGTCTAAACACCAGAAGCCTCCAAATAATGGAATTTGTTTAAAAATATTTAAAAATAACCTGAAAAGAAATCACACCCTCCTTCCCTTCCCCGGCCCCATTTCTTAATCCACAATAGAAAAAGAAGGTCACAAGTTAGAATATTCTGGAGCAGAATCATGTTTTTAAAAAACCACTGTGTGAATTTAATCTGAGCAAGCTTTTCTAGATAAATTCTCTTCCTCCATTAAACTTCTGACTCCAGATTGGCTGCTCTCCTTTTGGGTGGTTGGATGATGGGAATGGATGACTAAGAGCTGTTGCTCAAATCAGAAATATATGGGGCAGACTGGTGGTCAAGAGGCAGGTTTTGGGCTGGGTACAGTGGCTTAGGAGGCTGAGGTGGGAAGACTGCTTGAACCCAGGTCTTGGAGACCAGCTTGGGCAATATGGTGAGACCATGTCTCTACAAAGAATACAAAAATAGGCTAGGCATGGTGGTATGTTTCTGTAGTCCTACCTACTTGGGGAGCTGAGGTGGAAGGGTCACTTGAGCCCAGGGGTTCAAGGTTTGTGTGAGCCATGATTGTGTTACCACACTCCAGCCTGGGTGACAAAGCAAGATCCTTTCTCTAAGAAAAGACGGGTTTCGGAGCAGTCTTGCCTGCAACTAAGTACTGACTCCTCCACTCGCTAAAAGTCACTTTGGCCAAGTGCCTTCATGTTTTTGTGACTCTGCTCCCACACCAGTAAAATGGGGGTAATAGTAAATAGATCTGGATGGACTGTTGATAAACGAGAAAATCAGTGTAGAGTGCTTGGAGCTATGCCTAGTGCAGCGTGAGCACTTGGAGAATGTTAATTATTTGTATAACTTGCTGGTGTGGGAAGCCTGACTTTTCTCTGGCCGGAATCCCACAGGCCTGCACAACAGTAAACAGCCCCGCTGCCAACCCCCAGGATCTACAGTGAATACAGAGAGAGGGTGGTGAGTTACATCCTTCTGAAACTGGCTCAACTGTCCCACAGAACTGATGTTTATGGTTTCTTTTAAATAAACATCAAAATTAACTCTCCCAGTCCTGAAACTTGAGAAAGTTATATTTGTCTTATCTGAGTTGCTTTCTCAGGAAACCAACCATTAGGCCACTCTGATAGTATAAAAAAGCCAACAGTGGCTCACACCTGTAATCCCAGCACTTTGGGAGGCTGAGTTGGGCAGATGGCTTGAGCCCATGTGTTCAAGACCAGCCTGAGCAACATGGCGAAACCTCATTGAAAATACAAAAAAATTAGTGGGGCATTGTGGTGTGTGCCTATAATTCCAGCTACTTAGGAGGCTGATGTAGGAGGATTGTCTGAGCCCGGGAGCCGGAGGCTGCAGTGAGCCATGATTGCGCCCCTGCACCTCAGCCTGGGCAACACAGCAAGATCCTGTCTCAAAAAACAAAAACAAAAAACTTAAAGGTTACCAGACCCCTCACCCATCATGATGCCTAACCAACTCCCTGCTTTCTGTTAACTCCTCTTCCTCACCCTAATTCCTGTTTCCCACACATGGTTACATTTCTTCCCTGCTATAAAAAACCCTAGTTTTAGTAGGCCAGAGACACAGATTTGAGACTTATGTCCCATTCCCCTTGGCTATTAGCACCCAAATAAACTTTCTTCCCTGGTTTTGCTTGTCTCAGTGATTGGCTTTCTTCTGCATAGTGAACAATGAGACCTCGACTGAACCCCTGGCCTTCTGTAACACCTGAACTTAGACTGCAGCAGCTGCAGAGCTTGCCATCCCCAGAGCCTTCTGGTTTCATGATACCATAGTTATGGCAAACAGAACCATCTTGCTCTGGCTGCGGCAGAGACCAGGCTGCAATCAGCCCCTTCCCTGTGGAGATCAAGTCCATTTGGCTCCAAGGAGACAGGTTAGAGTGAGCAGCAATGTCTTCACTATCCAACAGACCCTCTCCATTGCTACGCAGAAGTGGACTCTGTTTAAAATTACTCAGATTTCCTATAAAATACACTTGGGTCATTTCCCCAAGCAAAGCAGCTCTCCTACATGGTAAAAAACAAAAATCAAAATGGTAAAAACCTATCTCTCACCAAATCAAAACAAATCCTTGGAATTGCTGTTGCTAGTAATGTTAATAGCTTATAAATAAGGAATTGAACATAGGTATAGTAAAATTCTTTTCTGTGTGGTTGGAAAAGAACACATTCTAGATAATAATATTTTGTTAGATAGAAGTTACGATAAATGCCTTGTGGAAATACCAGGTGGTCTCATAAAAGACAATTTTTTTTTTTAAGACAGAGTTTCACTCCTGTTGTCCAGGCTGGAATGCAGTGGCGTGATCTTAGCTCATTGCAGCCTCGCCTCCTGGGTTCAAGCAATTCTCCTGCCTCAGCCTGCCAAGTAGCTGACATTACAGGCATGTGCCACCACGCCTAGCTAATTTTGTATTAGTAGAGATGGGGTTTCTCCATGTTGGCTAGGCTAGTCTTGAACTCCTGATCTTAGGTGATCCGCCCGCTTCGGCCTCCCAAAGTGCTGGGATTACAGGCGTAAGCCACCGCACCTGGCCCAAAAGACAATATTAATGAGATGCTGAGCGATACCTTATCATAAGTGAGTCGCAGTACATCCTTTCATTCAGTTATCTGAACACACTAATTCACATATCATGTGTGTCTCCTCTACGCAAGGTTAACGTCTGAAACCTGAGGGTTTGGTTGTTCGTCATATGAACACTGAGAGACAAGCAATGCCAAGCAACAGGTTCTCAGCAACAGAACAAAGAGTTCCAGCTTTTATGTACATATATAGTCCTCAGCATGATTAAACTCAACTTTGCTTTTAAGTTTTTAAAATGGGGTATACTGTGTAGAAAATTATTAAAATAGTTCAATTGATTTCCCACTAGACTTCTCTTCTTCCTAAGCAAATTCTATGTAGACTTGTTAAGATGTTGCAAAAGGAAAAATACTTTCCCACTTTGAAAGTGCAACTGGATGCTCTCCCCAAAGTCAACCCACAATCCAAAAGGTGCAGGACAGAATGCTCACCATCTCTGTGATTTCAGCAATGTCCTCTCTGTGCTCCCAACAGGGAAACATATTGGTGAATGTCAGAGGCTCCAGACCAGCATGGATAAGGTAAGACTTAGGGGGCGGCTTCTTAAGATTTTTTCCTGTAGTTACACAGAATGCAATGTCAGTAGACCCTACTCTCTGTGATTTCCCTTGAAATTTTTTCTTCTTTGTTCAGAACTCATGACTTCATGCTTAAAATGCAGGTTATGAGTAGCTCATAACAACACATGGACGATGCTTATATAAGATGTTAATTTCATACCTGTGACTACAATAGTGACCTATAATCAACCTGAGCCTATACTGCTTGAACCTAACAAAACACTCTGTATTCCTGGACGGGAGAGAGAGGCTCTGTCTGCAGCTTCTGGGTGGAGCATTTTCTTCCTCCTGAACTTAACCTGTAGAGGCATCCCTCTCACTTCCTACCACGGGATTAACTCCAATGTGACTGACAGCGAATGACAGCATCTTACACATCCACACTCACTATAACACTGGGTGGAAGGTCTCATATGTTATTTATTGCTAAAGAGATTTTCAGGAAGAGAATCAATTGCACATACTCAGTGATAGTAAACTAATTGTGTCAATGAAACCATAAAAATTCAGTAAGATATTAATTACTGGCATTTTCATTTTACATAAAAGACCAGAAATTTCATGTGTATAGTAAAGAACCATGAACTTACTATGGATATTTCTCTTTGGATATAATACTCAAAAAATAAATAATAAAAAGGTTGGCAATGGCCATCCGCCATTTGGGGGAGACTTCCATTCTCCACAGCATGGTAGTGCTTGCAGATAATGTACATGGCGGAGGCCAACTTGTCTCAGCGTGATCAATCCCGAGTACAACAGGGTTTGAATCTGCCCTGGGCTTTCTACAATACAGCCTTTATCCTTGAGGTAACACGTTAGATGGCCTCATGAGAGAGAAAAACTAGTTCCTTCTCGTGCTGGCAGCTGAGACTGCACTAATCTAAAAGTTAATAAATCTCAAAAAGTTAAAAAGGGGAAAAAATGGGTTTCATCGCCACTTGCCGGGCTTTATAGATGCTGGCTGACATGCGCAGAAAGGGAAGGGGCTCTGCTGGCTGGGCGTGCCTGAGGGGCTCCCCCGTCTGCTCCCTGCTGCAGGTGCGTTAGAGGGAGCCTCACCTTTGCAGTACTGGAGCACGGTCTCCATCGCGCTCTTCCGGTCGGAGGCCCAGCGGATGCGGGCAGAACCAGGGATCTTGTTCTCGATGGGCCACCAGCCTTGCCAGAGGTACACCTCGTGGTGATTGTCAACAAGGAAAAGTGCTGTGAGGGAGGGACAGAGCCCGACCATGAGGAGCTCCTTCGCGGACACTTGCAGCTCACTCATCCCAAACCTAGCGGATGCTGCCCCTCCCCGCTGCTGTGTCACGGGGGAAATCCCCTTGGCTCTCACCCCAGGGACGAAGGGGCAAACACAGGGTCCCACCCAGCCCTTTGAAAGTTCAACTGGGAGAAGCCTCTAGGCAGAGAGGTGGCATCAAGGAGTTGGCCACTTTCATTCCTCGTCCTCCAGGTCCTCCCATCTTTGCTCCAGCTCAAGCCCGTGTAAACCTTCTGGAGGCAGGCAGGGCTGTGCTGAGAATGGAAGGGATAATGCATGTGCCACTCAAGGGACTGTCAGCACCATGCATCTCCAAAGAGCACAGTCAACACTGGCGCGCACAGCTCACTGCAGAGAGGTCAGTGGCATTCCTGCCCTGTGTGTGACTGCTTAGCAGTGAGGCGAGCTTATGATTCTCTTACAGAGAAATGGGCCTAAAATCAAAACTGCCGCTGTGAGTGGTGGCTCATGCCTGTAATCCCAGTGCTTTGGGAGGCTGAGGCGGAAGGATTCCTTGAGCCCAGGAGTTGAAGACCAGCCTGGGCAACATGGTGAGACCCTATCTCTACAAAAAGAAAAAAAAAATTAGCCTGGCATGGTGGTACATGCATGTAGTCCAAGCTACTCAGGAGGCTAAGGAAGGAGGATCACTTGAATCCAGGAGTTCGAGGATGCAGTGAGGCATGATTGCACCACTGCACTCCAGCCTGGATGATAGAGTGAGACCCTATCTCTTAAAAAGATAAATAAATAAATAATTAAAATTGTTCTGTCTTTTCCTCCTCACTTTTTCTCCTCCTCAAATTGTCAGCCTGACTCTTACTGCACCTGCCAAAATGCCTCATTCTTGCTAGCTCGGCTCACCATGTGTCCTTTCCTGGCATGTATTTCAGGATTCAGGAACCATACTTTAAAAGCCCAGTGGAGGTTGGTGACCTACCCTGAGCTCCAGGACGTAGGGTGTGGGCACAGCCTCTCTTTCTGGTCACTAAGATTTTCCAAGCATGGCATGTGCACAGGTCAAACTTTCAGTGGTACCCTGGGCACCCAGTGCGAGGTGAGGCCCCTGGCTGCAGCTCCAGGCTTTTGTAATTTGAGAAGCAACAAACACGCTGAGAGGCAGCTGACCTTGGCTTCACTGGAGGGCGGGCGGGAGGGGCTGTCAAGCCCAGTCTCTTGTGACTTTCCCAACCAGAATGAGGGCACAAGGGTTACTGTCTTGAGGTGGTGGCCTGGTGGGAACAGCCCTGACCTTGGGAGTCTTGGCTCTGCTGTGGAGCCTTGGTATGGTGGACCCTGTTCCTTGGCTAACTTAGCTGATACCCCAACACCCTTCTCCCCTGCCATTTGCTTTCCCAGGCTCCCTCACAGCTGGGGTTGGCCATGTGACAAGCTCTGGCCAATGGGACATATGCAGAAGTCTGCTGGGGGCTTCTGGGAAAACGTGCTTTATCTGATTAAAGACAGAGATGTGGCTATAATTGCTCTTTCTTCCTCATGCCTTCTTTCTCTGTCTTGAATGCAAACATGATGGCTGGAGCAATGGCAGTTGACCAGTGACCATGCAGCAACAAGACTGAGAGGAAGGCTGGGAGAAGAGCGGAGACGCCAGCTCTGCCACTGTGGCGCTCACCCTATTCTTAGCAGACATCTTTGGGTGGGTTAAGTAATTGAGCCTCGTTCCTTACGCTATAATGTGTGGCTGATTTCACCCTCCTTCCTTCTGGTGTAGAGATGAGGATGAAATGGCATAAGCACATGATGTTCTGGGTGTTCTGGGAGTGCACGTGGCAAAGAGAAGCTGCTTAATGAATACCGATGTAAAATCAAAAGGCTTCCTGGAAGGTGTGCCTTCTGCTGCTCAGTACAGCTGCCTCCTGCAAGGCTTACCTGGTTGGGGCGCGCTGTACAGATCTTCCTGCAGGAAGGGCATGGAACTGACCACAGAGGGGGCTCGGGCGGGGTACACGAACTCCGTGGCTACGAAATCCCCAGAGGAGCTGCTGAGGATGAACAGGCGAGGTGCGAAGTTAAAACTTCCAGGATCTTTGAAAGAAAAGAGAACAAAGCTGAAGATACCATATGCAGCAAAGTAAATTCCAGATGAAGAATGAAAACATGAAATAATTACATGCACTGTGGAAACATAGGTAGGATTTATCTGAGCTTCAAGGTGGAAAAGACCTTTTCAATTGCAATAGTAAAAGAACTAATCAAAAGGGAAATAATACATTAATTATATAAAAATACAACAATGCAAAATTAAAAAGAAAAACCAAGTCACAAATGGGAAATATTTATAATACAGCCACTAGTTAATATCCTTAACAGATGAAGGGACATACATAAGAAAAACATAAATCTCTCAATAAAATGTACAAAAGACAAATAGAACACTCACCAAAGTAGAAATTAAAATGGCTAAAAAATATATACATATGTAACATAAATATGCATGTTATAAATATGCATATATTTTATTTGTATATATTATACATTTATATACATATATGTACTTCCAAGTAAAACAAAAGAAAGCTATCTGTCTCATCAATTTGGCAAAGAGGAAAAAAGTAATATGCTGAATTTATGATTGTGCTGAGAAATGTACGCTTTTGTATATTGCAAGTGAGAATGCAACTTGGCCCGTGCTGACACATGCTATAAGACTTTCGTAACTAGCACGGCAGTTCCACATCTAGGAATTCCTCTCAATTAGGAATGAAAGTATACAATCATTTAAAAAAGTATTCAAACTGCATTATTTTATAAGGGAGAAAAATCAGAAACAAGAAACAGCTCAACTCCTCAGCTGCCAGAGACTGTCAGGTAGAGTGATGTATATTCACAGAGTAATCAGAATACCTTGCAGCCATTAGAAATCCACATTTTAATAACTCGGGAGATTATTCATAATAAAGGAAAAAAGCAGGTTACAAAACTGTAGGTCCACATTTTATTTTTAAAAACAGTTATTATATGCAGCATAGTCCTGAGGGATGTGATTAAGTGACTTCGTTTCTTTTTTTTAACTTCTCAATAATTTCAAACGTTTCCTAGGCATTATGTTTAAAACACTGTATGAAAGTTTATAAGTATTGAGGGGCAGAGTATTATGGAGTACTTAGGATACTCCATTGCTGTCCAGCCTTGGGCAAGCTGACTAACTTCTGTATGCCTCAGCTTCCTCATCTGTAAAAATGGCAGAGTGCTGGGTTGTACTACTGGAGTTGCTATGTGTAAGGTGCTGACTAGTGTCTGGCTTGTTGGAACTGCTTAACAAGTTCACTTTCCTTCTTATGTTCATCTGTATTGTGAGAACAGCTGGGAAAGCACACATATAACACCTAACCTCACTCCGGTGAACAGGAGTGTCTATTCTATACAGACACGGCCTGTATCCCCAAACAGGTTAATGACCAAAGGGCTCTGGAAAGGGGATAAGAGGCTGGCTTCCTTCCCCGTATCCCACTCCAGCACCCAGAGGACTGCGACTTCTCAGGTGGCAGCTATGAGGAAAGAAAGAAACGGTGCCTGAGTCGCTAAGACCCTGGAAGTTGGCATGGTCCCTGGGAAGCTTTGGAAGCTGAATTGCCAGTGGGAATTTGAAGACTTGGTGTCCAAGTTAAACTCACCCCTGGGAAGAAAAAACCTGTTCGATCAGCTGGACATAGCACTTATCACACTAGATTTATGACAGGCTGAAGAATTAAGATAAAACATGAATGGGGCACAGTGGCTCATGCCTGAAGTCTCAGCACTTTGGGAGGCTGAGGTAGGCTGATCACTTGAGCCCAGGAGGTTGAAGCTGCAGTGAACTGTGTTTGTACCACTATACTCCAGCCTGGGCAACAGAGCAAGACTCTTGTTTCCAAAAACAAAAGAATTGGATCACAGGCTGTGGATGGCGCATTACCTTGAAGCATGCAATCATAGGCTTTCCTGTCTCTCCTTCCTAAGGCATCCCAGAATCCCAGGGGCTCGGAGCCTTCGTCACACTCGTGTATGGTCACTTTGCTGCTACTATGCAGTCCTGCTTCCAGGGGGCATCTGCAAGGGAGAAACTCCAAGAGTTCTTTGTAAGTCTGGAGAGTGTTGATGACACAGAATTATTATTACTATTACAATAACAGCTTTATAATAGCTTTCCTGAGATATAATTCACATGTCATAAAATTCACTCTTTTTATGTGTACAGATTTTAGTATACACAGAGTTGTGCAACTGTTATCACCAATTTCAGAACATTTTCATCCCCTGGAAAGAGAAGCCCTGTGCCCGTTAGCAGTCACTCCCATTCCCCTCCTTAGTCCTCAGAACAACGAGTCTGCTTCTGTACTGATGGATTTGCCTAGTTTGCACATTTCATACAGATGGAATTATATATGGTCCTTTGTGACTGCATTTTTTTACTTAGTATAATGTATTTAAGGTTCGTTCATGTTGTAGCATGTCTCAGTACTGAATTCTTTTTTATGGCAGAATAATAATATGCTATGATGCCACATTTTTTTAATCCACTAATGCACTGGTAGATATTTGGGTTATTTCTGCCTATTGGCCACTATAACTAATATTGCTATGAATCTTCATATAGGAGTGTTTTCATTTCTCTTGGGTAGATACCTCGGAGTTGCTAGTCATATGGTAACTGTATGGTTAAATTTTTAGAGGAATTGCTACACTGTTTCCCAAGGTGGCTGTACTATTTTACAACCTCCGCAGTAACGTGTAAGGTTTCCAACTTCACATCCTTGCCAATACTTGTTATTGTCTGCCTTTTTAAAAATTTTAATATTTGTGGGTATATACTAGTAGTAGGTATATATATATTTATGGGGTACAGACACAAAATTATTCAAAACTAAATCTGGAGATCAGTTCACCATCCCTTCTATTT